TAGCTCTTTTTAACTTGGTTACATACTGTATAGTTCAGGTGGGTAGCTGCGTCAGCATGCGTAGGCTGCAAAGGAACAAGTACTAGGTTTATTCCATGCTGAAAAAAAGAATAAGAAAGAAAACACAATGTTTCGGCCATGGAGCCTTCTTCAGGCTACTCTATAGTGTTTGCATTAAGCTCTGAAATACCATTATAAGATGTAGCCGAAAATGAAGATTGGCATGTTTGCCTTGAAATTGAAGGCACTCAGTGAATTTGTAATGTCTGTAGAAAACCCAGTTCCTTTCCTTTTTTCTCCTTACTTTCAAGGAATTTGCAGATCGGAAGGAGCAGGTTGTGAATGCTCTTGAATGCGACAAAGCCACCTGACTTTGCTGTGCATAACCAGATCACCATCCTACTTATTTAATTCACATAACCTGGTCAGCACTGTGATGCAGTGGTTAACATTGCTGCTTCACAACTTTGCGGCCCTGGGTGCAATTCCCGGACTGCTATCCTAGTGGAGTTTGTACGTATGTTCTCCCTGTTTTAACGTGGGTTTCCTCTGGGTGTGCTGGTTTCCTCCCAGAGTCCAAATAAATTTTGGTTGTTCAGTTGACTTCTGGGAGAATTGTCTGCATGTACCCTGCAAAGGACTGGCGTCCCATCCAGGGTGTATCCCACTTTGTGCCCATTGCTTGCTGGGATAGGCTCTGGCACACAGTTGTCATCACGTGCACATCATATACATCTGTACTGATTAATACAATTTAAAATATTATTCACCTTTTAAAACCAATAAGAGCTTCCATGTTTTGGATAAACAATAAAATAAGCCAGTTTGGAAGCCCTTGTTGTGTTTTGTCTGCAGAAGAAGCGCCGCTTGTAAACAGCTTTTAAGGGCTGACATGTTGATTTACAGCAATGTAGCTTAGGACCTATTGAATTATCTCAAACACTGTTGAGCAGTTCAGATGACTTAACGCTACATGAAAACACAGGCCTTCAAAAATTCTCATGATGGTAAAGGCCGGTCATACTGTATGCCGAGAGGTATCCTGTCCATCTGGGTGAACTGCTTTTCCTTTATTGGCTGGTGGCTAGTTGGACTGGCTGTTGGTGCCTTGATAATAATCTTTTCCTCAACGTCGGCAAAACCAAAGAGCTGATTGTCGATTTCAGAAAGCTGGGTGGGGACCATTGGGTTAAGACCCCTTTTCACATCAATGGGGTGGCTGTAGAGATGGTTAGCAGCTTCAAATTCCCATGTTCTTTCATTACTAATGATTTTAAAGTGGTCTCAGCATGTACCTGGAGCTACAAAGAATGTGCAATAGCACCTTTTACTTCCTCAGACACTTGGAAAAAATAATGATCTACAACTATTCTCACTACGTTCTTCAGGTGTGCTATATAAGTTAAGTTAAGTTTGCTCACATGTGGTTTGGCAGCATCTCGTTATCTAACTGAAAGGCGTTGCAGGGGGTGATCAAGTCAGCCCAGTCCATTATTGGAGTACAGCTGTTCTCTGTTATGGACATTTTTACAGCTCTCTTACTTAGCAAGGCTGGGAGTATTATTAAGGATAACACTCATCCTTGTTTCTTACTTTTCTCTTCTCTGCTCTCTGGTAAGCTTTATAGGATAACGGAACGTAGTGTACCACCAGATTCAGAGACAGCTTCTTCCCATAAATTGTCAGATCATCGAATTCTACCTCTACTACTGACTCACACTGATGTTTTATTCTGCACACTGCTTATGCTGACTTTTATTTCAGTTGTATGTTATTCAATTTTATTGTTGTTACTGCTGCTGTTCTGTTTACAGTACAGTAAGTCTGATGTTTCCTTAATGTCTTTGTATTCACACATACAAGCAAATAAGCATGTCTTTGCTAAAATAAACTCCTTGTATCAATCTCTCTATGGCTGGACAGGTAAACCAGTGAGATGGTAGAAACATTATTCCTAGCTGGAAATAGTATACCGTAGCCTCCATGAAGACCTTTATCATCAGATGTTACTTCTGACAAATACCTCCACCACGACTGTAGTACAGGCATGCATACGTTTTGCATATGGGCTGCCTGGTAATATCAATAACAGGCAAATATTGCAAAAAACAAAGTAGAAGCCAAAGCTGTTTTAGAATGCTTAAAGGAATAAAACATTCATAAAATATTAACATTTTCCCATTTTAGCAATGTTTGAAACATGGATCTCACTGCCTTTCCTCTTAGTGTACTAAATAATAGCAGACATATGCTTCTGTCCTTTTCCCTTTGCATTAGACAATTGTCAAATGCCTCAATATATCCAAAATAATATTTAGTGTTGTACATTACAATGCAGACAGTGAGTATGCAAACAAAACTACAGTGTTGTAAGTCAAACACTGTTATTTCAGACTAACATGTACCAAGGGAAGGAATTTCAGAAGTAGGTTATTTGTCCCTTAAGCTTCACAGCTTCTTGTCTGGAGTAACATGAAATGCATTCCTTCCAGCAGTATATGAGGGTGCTCATTTGAATATTATAGGATAATAGGGCTCGTTTCCTTCTCCATACACATGGAATGGGCTCGGTTTCTATGGTAACCAGGGAGTGTTGTCACATTTTTTTCCCACTGTTTTTGGAGTGTAATCAAAGTAAGACGAAGGTATCTGTGGAAGATGGGTAACTGAATTGTTTCTGACATTGTTTATATCACAGCAGTAGCTGGCAGAACTCTTGAATAATTCAGGCTGAAAGGTAAGTTCATGAACAGAACCAAGTTTAGGCTGGAAAATGCAGAAACACCATCCAGCCAGAAGTCGAGTGTAGTTCCTTGTTACGGGTTCTTAAATATAGGCAGGATTGGGGATGTGTCTGCATGGTTTACTGGAGTTCCTGTTGTTTTAGTGTTTTAACTGAGTGGAAGAAGGGCAAGGAAGTCAGGCTTATCTCATGCCAACCTGACACTGAATCTTTATCTTGCACACCTACAGTTTGTAAAAGAAATTGGCAGAAATGCGTGTGATTAAATTAATAGTGAAAGCTGAGAAGATGCTAAACATCCCTTCACCTTTATTGCACTGCTGATCTTTAATTAAAAATAAATTCAGCTTAGGGAGGTCCTGCAGTCTTTATGGAGCCAGACGCTGTCAGAGGAAAAAAAGAAACAACCTATTTTGTGACCCTCTTAATTAGGTGAGTGTTGATACAGTGTGTGACCCAAAGAAATGGGCTGCACAGCGTGTAAGAAGATGTTGGAAAATCTGAGGAGACAATAAAGCTTGAAAATGAAAGTTTTCCATGATACAGGACATGAACCTAACTGGAATCTTGTGTTTTGTTGGTAAAATGTCAGTGAGCTCAGGGAGGAGGATAGCTTTGTATATCCTGGTCTAAGAAAAAAATGCACCCAGCACACAAAGCCAAGCAAGGGACTAATTGTTTTCACCTGGGAAACAGAATGAGCATCTTTCCCTATTATAATTTCTATGGAAATTGACAGGTAGCTGAATACATCATTTTAACATTTTCTAGAGGATTTTATTTTGAGGTAAGTTTTTTTTTAATTACGTTTTGCAGTTTTGACATTTAAGCCTGACAGTTATATACTGTAATTGGAACACATTAAATACATTTTATGACATTAGTATGAAATATTACCCAGGCAAGCATGTACGTACCACTTATTTGTTTTTCATTTCATTTATAATAATTAATTGTATAATTACAATTACATGCAATTTAATTAGGTTGTTTCTAGTGCATTTTCTTTTTTTAGTTTTACATTTTCCAAATTGTTTACTCCCACAAGTAAAAGGTGTAATGAACTCTTGGCAGCCTTCTGGATTGTAAGGCAGATTTAAAGATTACCTGGAAGCAGTTTAACCTGTTGGTAAATTACTGATGGATTGGACAGTTTCTTCCAGATTTGTTCTCCTCAGTGTATTAAACCTGAACATTCTTAAACACCTTAATAAAGTTGAGTGCATTGTTTTTAAAATGTTAGTTATAGTAGCTTGTGAGTGAGAAGTCATAATGCCCCTTATGCTTGTCTTGTTCTCAGTAACTCTCCACCTATACATCGAGTAAGTGGAATCATTAGAAGGCTGTAATCAGGTTGATGCCTTCTCTTATATTAAGACAAAGGGCACTAACTCACTTGTCGGTACAAATGTCTCAAATTGGCTATGCTGACACTAATGGCTTAATCTGTTTTTCCCTTTATATTCACTATTGTGCAGTGGTAGCTGGATTATATTAACAATTTCTTATCACAGGCTAAACAAAATTAATTTTGAATTGAGTGACTTCATAGAAATACCTGCATATAATTTCCAAAAAAAGGTTTCTTTTTATTTCTAAGAATCAGCTTGGTTTTGAAACAACCATTTTAAGGGGGGGTGGGGGGTTGTGAGAGAGGGTGTACAGTATATGACTGATTTTCTTTTTTTTGGATGTGACTGCTGTGACTGTGTTGCTGAGATCTCAGCTACTTCTTCTTGGTTGGAATTCCTATAGTACTGTCAGTCTTGAGGCATGTTTTTTTTATTTTCAACCTGCTTCCTGCTGCCGAAAGGTCTATTTTTTCACAAGGCAGAGTGCCGACAGATACTCTTAAACCTCTGCCATTCGTTTGGAGACTGGGCTCTTCTTATGGAAAGGCGGTACAGTGATAGCATGTACAGACGCTCTTCCACCTCTCCAAAATTTGTACGATAGCCCCCTTTTGAATGGAAATCGTTCTTGAGACCAGAATTCTGTTTTGCTCATTTCTTCAAATGTGTCATTTTTGAACATCTATAACAATTCCAGGTGTAATTACCATGATGTTTCCTTTTGTTGAATGCCATATCTTGTAACTGAGACTCTTTTTATGGTCCTTCCACTCTCACACGTATTCTTAAATTGCCACAGAGAAACCGCGCTTCACCCATTAACCATTTTATTGGAGCCGGAGCCTTGACTCGTGTGATGTTTCAGCCTCTTCTCCTGTGTGAGGTTGTTATCTCTTTTTCGGCAGATGGACGAGATCAAAGGCAAGGACCGGGTGGTTCTGGCTCTGGAGAAGGAGCTGGGTGTCCAGGCGGGTTACGCTCAGAAGCTGCTGCTGCAGAAGGAGGCCCTGGACGAGCAGCTGGTGCAGGTGAAGGAGGCAGAGCGGCATCATGGGAGCCCCAAGCGCGAGCTCCCTCCCGTGCTGGGCGACGCCGCCGACTTTATCCTCTGTCAGGTGAGGACAGCAGATTTCAACCTTTCCGTCTAGTTTTCTTCAGAATGCTGTACTGTTCTCTCGATTCATTCATTTTCCATTTCAGTTTAACCCTATCGACTCCATCGTAGGCCTCTCCCACTACGAGTGTCAATTCGCATCTAACACTACACTTTCCATCACTAAATACAACATTTTTTATAATTTCTCAAAATATCACAAATGCAAGTGATCTCCAATTTTTCTCTTAACATAATCATTTTTTTTGCAACAGAGAAACTATTTCGTAATAAAGGTTTAACACAACTGAAACTGTGTAAAAACATGATCCTAGTATGTCTAAATTTGAAGCAATCTAGACTGTTTCTGGTAGGAATCTGGAAGCAAACCAAAATAACTAACATTTTAAGAAGGCTACTTCTAAAGACCTGACTTTGTGTGTCTGACTTGTCACGAAATTACATGGCGGTATGTTTTTGATGTGCAGTAAATATGTACGCATGAATTGATGGATTTTCTGGGTTCATGTTAAGATGGAAGGAAAATGTTAACTTCTTTGTTTCACTGGATATATCTTTTGTGAAGTAAGAATTTATTTTAAATGAAGATGTGAAATTTTGAATATGTAGCAGCTGTTTTAATGTTTAATGTTCCCTGATTTCCTGATTTGGAATTGAAGTTTAAAAAAAAATGTTTTTAATGACCTGACTTACAAATTGCAGTTTGAGGTGTGTGAAAATGCCACTCAGCCGCACATGGTTAAAATCTGAATGAAATCTGAGTGAAGCTGGGAAGCCCTTGGCCCTTTAGCTTGTCCCATAGTTTTGAGAACAGTTTGTGGTGTGTAGGAGCAGCAGCTGGATGAGAGGGATGTGCGGCGCTTTCAGCTGAAGATCGCGGAGCTCAACGCAGTCATTCGCAAGCTGGAGGACAGGAACACGCTGTTGGCCGACGAGAGGAATGAGCTGGTGAGAGAGTTTGGCTTTCATGGCCAGGCCTATCGGAAGAACAGGGCAAACTGCGACGGTCCGTTTTTTGAACGAGTTGCTCAGGGACCCGCGGTTTAGTTTTAGATGAAGTGGGTTTTTAACCTTAAAAAAACCAACATTTTTTCAAGTAGCTTCAAAAATTTGGAATCACTGTCTCCCTACACAGCACAGCATTGCTATTGCTACACATCAATCATTCTCACATGAAAGGTTAAATAATGCGATGTAAAGCAAAAACGAATTATTTCACCTTTGATTACTGCCCACAATTCTTAGTATTACCTTCAGGACATGGCAGGGTCTGTCTTCTCTTTAATGAGCCATGCAGGAACTGGACAGATTTCCTACTTGTCTGCAGCTTATCTGGCCTCACTCATGTCTACAGGGGCAAGGGGTGTGTTCTGATAACATGGCCTCCTCAGCTGGGGGAGAGGTAAAGCACACTGGCTGTGTAATTTAATCACAAAAGTCATTGATTTGAAGCCCATGGGGAGATTTCCCCACTTCTTTTGGACAGCCAGGCAAATCACTTTCACAGTAATATGCATTCGCAATTTTTATACATCAACAGTGGCTATCACTTCTGTGACTCAAATACTAAATAGTTCTAAAAATGTAGACCATATATGAAATGTAGGTATATTTTTTTTAAATGTGGAAAATAACTGAAGCACTAAATTCCGCAGGTTGTTCAACACAAGTCACATGAGTAAGTGTGTAAACCTCTTGCTTCAATCGCAGTTTACATGTAAGGCAACTGCAGTTTAAAAAGCCACAAAGAGGTGCAGTTACCTCGGTTTGTTTTAAGGTTTTATGGGTCTGTATCTGAATAATGTAAAATGCTTGATTGAGAAAAAGACACATTCTATTTTGGTGTTGCATATAAAAGGTTCCACTATTTCAAAATCTGTGTAAAGTGAATTGGCAGGAAACAGTTAATGGCAGTATGGTTGAGGTCAAATAAGATGATCTAGATCCTTGTGCAAACAGCTGGCCACAGCAGTAAAGAGACCTTCAAGGTCAATGTGGAAAATGAAGTGTGAAAGATAGTGGTGGGCAGGCGAACCTGTCTGAACTGACATTTGTGCCTTGTAGCTGAAACGTGTCAGAGAGACAGAAAGCCAGATGAAGCCCCTATTTGAGAAGAACAAGAGGATGTCGAAGAAAAACGAGGACCTCCTGCAGTCCTTACAGCGCATGGAGGAGAAGCTGAAGAACCTGACAAGGGAGCATGCCGAAATGGTGAGCTAACTTATTATTACCACAGAAGACATTCTTCGGTGCATCTTAATTAAATAACGCCTTGCAGCTCAAAACTGACAACCCATTGAAGCTAAGCAGGTGGGAGCCTGGTCAGTACCTGGATGGGAGACCTCCTGGGAAAAACTAAGGTTGTTGCTGGAAGAGGTGTTAATGGGGCCAGCAGGGCTCACCCTGTGGTCTGTGTGGGTCCTAATGCCCCAGTAAAGTGATGGGGACACTATACTGTAAACAGGCGCTGTCCTTCAGATGAGACGTAAAACCGAGGTCCTGACTCTCTCTGGTCATTAAAAATCCCAGGGCCTTTCTCTGAGAGTAGGGGTGTTACCCCAGCATCCTAACCAAATTTCCCATTTGCCTTTACTAATATTGGCCCCTTAATAATGCCAATTTATGAACTGGCTTCATCACTCTGTTCTCCTCCCCACTAATAGCTGGTATGCGGTGAGTGTACTGGAGCACTATGGCTGCTGTCGCATCATCCAGGTTGATGTTGCACATTGGTGGTGGTGGAGGGGAGTCCCCATTACCTGCAAAGCCCTTTGAGTGTAGCGTCCATTATTATTATAGATACATATGTCATTCAGTTGCATTTAATCTTCTTTGTAAGTGCAATAATTGTCTCAACTGGGACAAGAGAGCATTTTGGTAACTCTTAATCTGTTATATTCAAAGAATTTCCAGTGGAGTCAAGAAGAGATTCTTGTAAAAAGGAGTAATTTACTTCAAAAAGGTATTGAAGGTCAGAATCTTCTCATTAAAGAAATAATAAAAAAAAGATTGGATGTTGGACATGATCTATTAAAATCCAATGCCTTGTCTTTTATGGGGGTGTCATCTTAATTTTCTAACCATATTCTATTATAATTCAATTCATTTGATTGCTACAGTATCTCACCCTGCACGTGATTGCAGTTTTTGGAGTAATTCAGAATGAAGTCATGCTTTATTAGATTTCTGTGTTTGTATAGAATAGCATTGTGTTCACCCCACTGACATGCACAAAAAGCCTGTACTGTAAATGCTCAAACTCCAATTAAACACAAGGATTCTTTTATGTTTATTAGGTAAACTTTTTTATCCTGTCTGCAAAGTGTGTTTAATAATTTCCCTTAGGCGCTGTTTCAAAGAAAAACCTTTTTGTGTGAATGTTTTTTGAGCTGTCTGGAGATTTTTTCAGCATTAAGGAGATCAGTACGTGTTTCAGGATGAAGGTTTCATAAATACAAAATTAGTTGCTAGGATTGTGCTGCAACAGAAGTGGTTCATTCAGATCTTCAAGGTAACTTTCACAGTCCTGGTAATGGAATTTTATTAAGAAATGTTTTTCCAAATTTAAGCAGTTTTCTCTGTAAACTGTAGACACTGAATTTCACAATTCAGTTATTTCTAAGCATCATTTAATACACTGACAGAAAAGTTGGAAGTGTTGCCTTTTTTTTAATAGTAAGGAAAATGGGATTTCTTATGGTAGGTTAAAGCCAAAGATGAATAAAGGCTCCTTCTTTGTATCGTTGGGACAGCATGGCATAGTGGGTAAGTGTACTGGGTTCATAACTAGTGTTCACATCCCTTGTTTTCCCTTGAATGAGATACTTGCTGCCCAGTCCACCCAGCTGTACACTGTATGTGGGGGACATTATTGCTGGGGGATATTTCCTGTTACCACCATGGGAACCAGGGTAAGATTTGTCCAGATGAGCTGTTCTGGTTCAGATATGAAAATTACTTACCTTTCTTAATCTCAGTCTTATTATTGGAGTTTGTATTTGATGGTGAATCATTTTTGTTTTGCATCTCATAAAGAATGCTTCTTCTCTGTTTCTTGTCTTCTGTCCCTAGCAAACATGACTAGACTTGGTCATTTCAGACACCCAAAAAATACAACCAGAATAACATATTTTAAAGAGCTTAATTATCGCACACTAATAAGCAGACATCATGTTTCATAATTCTCTACTCTCTTTTTATTCTGTGCATCCCCTTAAATAAAGTACATTCTCTTGGGTTAGGCAGTTGTAAATTGTGATTAGACGAGAACATTTGAGGCATTGAAAATGAAAAATCTAGGCTATGGGAATTCTATCAGACATCATTCTCCATTTTTTTCATTATATGGTTTTCTTCCAAAAAAATGAAATGTAATTGCACAAAAATGTGTTGCTGTTTGATATTTGTGATATTTTAATTCTAAATGAAACAGAGACTGCAGAGATGTAGTAGTTTTGTAGTGCTTTAACTTTAAACAGATGTAAATATCCTAAAGCTTATAGGCTGAGCTTCCTAAATCAACCAGGTAAATGTTTTTTTTCCCCTCTGTGTGTACCTTTAAAATGAAAATGTAAAAAGGTTCCAACTCAAATTTAACAGATTGTCTTTGATTTTACAATACTGTCTTAGGATATATGAATGTTTAGATGTGAGTTTTTCAGCTTCAGGTCGTGTTTCTATGGACTAGTTTGCACAGTTAAAACTGTAGAAGAGGGTGATGTATAGTGTCATGGAGCAGAGAACCTTCCGAACCTGCAGTTCCTTGCAGTCATGCAAGCTCATTAAGACTTACAGGCTCTCAATAATGAGAAACACTGATAAAGAAAGGCTTAAGTTGCATTGTTACAGGAATTAACAAACGTTTTTTTAGAAAACATACAGTAATTGATTTGCAATTATGTTTGATATTCAATAGAAAGACTGTTGTGTGAAAAAGAAAAAAAGAAAAATAGAGAACATTTTAAACCTTAAAAAATGTTTTGCCTTAGCAGCTGAGAATGTGTGTGTATGGGTTCTGTCAGGTGGGATGCTTAAAATATGAAAAGGCAATCTTTTAAGTGTCCTAGATCAATACTTTTTATATATATATAATGTGTGTGGTAATGCTAGATTTAAAAGCATTTTGTATACAGGTAGGCCAGTGCTTCCAAAGCATGCATGTGTAGAACAGGACTTAATGCAGTTTTATACAAAAATTCGTATTCAAAACTTGAAATCAAAACTTACATTGTGACCTGCACAAGTGGGCACCTTTTCTTGTGAGTTGTCCTGAAGATGCCTGATCTCCGTGTGTTTGCTTTCTTATTCCAGAAGGAGAAATTACATTCCCAGACGCAAACTGCTCTGAAGAGACCGAGTTCCCTCAATGATCTCAGCCACACGCACGAGGAGCAGGAGATCGAGTTCCTCAAACTGCAAGTGGCTGAGCAGCAGAGCATGATCGACGACTTGACCGTGGTGAGCTTGGTGAGCTTTGCTGTCCCTGCAGTGTGGATTTTCATGTAGCTTATTTGGGGACCGTCAGTATGAACGCAAAATACGTTTCTAGCCTGAAATATGCTGTTTGTGGATTTTCTCTGTTTGCCTTAACCACTTGCAGCACAGTTTCTGATTTGTTTAGACCATCTACAAACCAGCTGTTTTATTTCCTAAGTATCCTCTTGTCCTGCCTTGCTGTTTTTTTTTCTCTAAGTGTGAAAGAATGGTTAGTTGTAAATTTGCATTATGGAGAGTTAATTTGAAATTTCATTTGGAATTGCCATTTGTCATTTGTATCTTATATCCTCCGATTCTAAAGTCTCTAAATTTTTAATTTCACCACAATGGTCTCTGGCCCAGTACAGATAGGTGGAAGGCCAGGAGCAGGTGAAGCCCGCTGTTGAACTTTTTTACAATGTAGTTCTCTTGTTAAAAGGGAATTAAAATCAATTATTTGCCATGACATTTTTAACTGAAAATGTACCGGAGCTTTCAGAGGTCATAGTCTGGTTGATTATGTCAATCTCTAGCTTTGTTCAGCAGCTTGTAGTGAAATTTCATAAATTTTACTTGCTACACATTCATCCATTTAATCAAATGCAGTGATGTTAAAATATTCAAAATTGCACTGGGATTAGGTATCCCAGGTGCATAAAAGCTTTCTCTTAGACAATCAAATACTAGACAAATCTTCACTTTGAACTGTTTGAACCTTGATAAGTTCTCAATTATCTGTTTTTGTTTTAAACTCCACTTCCCAGACTGAAGTATTACAAATCCAGATGCAGGGAAAGGATCCATTAAGATTCCAATTAGGTCTAAACCTACTGTATATCTATTTTGAAGAACTGGGGCTTTTATCAGCTATTGGCTGTTGTTGTGATATAAGGTACAGGTATAATTTACAGAATATCTAAATAGCTTTCTACAGACAGTTGTAGGCTTTATTTTTCTTCTGCTTTGTCTATTCCCATTAGACTTTTAAACTCCTTTTTCCTTGGGTCTTTGCAATATCAGGCCAAAAGTATAAATGTAAACTTTTCCTTAGATGCATTTGCTGTAGGTTGTTGGACTTGAATCCTTTAAGCTAATATCGCAGAAGTCTGTATTAGTATTTTAACAAAAATGGTGAAAATCAGGAATTGACCGAGTGTTTTAGTCAATAAGTGAAATAATAATTTATTCATAACCTCCAGCTATTAAGTTCTTTTTCCAGAATACACAGTACCCGAGCGGTTGGTATAATTAGAGGCACGTGAATTATTTATTCTCTGGCACAGCTTTGGTGAAGAAAGCAATAATAAAAGTACACTTGGTTAAACAAATATTTATTACAGTAACAAGACACAAACTACATTGCACACAACAAAACATACAATACACAAAGGAACAAGTAATAGGTTTATTCCATGCTGAAAAAAAGAAGAAAGAAAACACAACGTTTCGGCTGTGGAGCCTTCTTCAGTTGTGAGAGAGACAGGGCAGTAGGCAAAGGAGAACAAAGGTTGGGAGGGAGGAGGAGTGAGAGGCGGGAGCAGGGGACAGAAAGAGAGGCCAATCAAGAGTTGTGAAGCCAGAATGGGTGCATAGAGGTGTGAAATGAAACTTCCAATTAATGGAGAAAATTTAAAAGAACAGTAGTCTGTCGTTAAGGGAAGGGAGAATGTGTGATCCTAGCTGCAGAATAATTTTAGTTTCGGTGGTCTTTCTGATGTATGAGTTCGGAAAACCGTCTTTGAGAACACAGACGGAGAGATTAGAGTGGTCGTGGCCGTCAGAGGTGAAATGAGAAACAATGGAATAAACCTATTACTTGTTCCTTTGCAGCCTACGCATGCTGACGCAGCTACCCACCTGAAATACAATACACAAGTTACTCTATATACTGTACACTATTACAAACAAGGCATTTCAGAGGCCTAAGATTCTGGTCACCCAGAAAACCCCAGACTGTTACTAAGCATAAAACTCTTAATGCCTACAGAGTTTATACAAGAGATGAGCTGCCTTCTAACTAAATACAATGCAACCTGCAGTTATGCAGTTAAATCTCTCTCTCTGCACCCTGGATGCCACAAAATAAATGGCAGCCTATATCCCTATCCGTAAAAATACAACCTGAGCAGGAAAGATATTTCTAACTGAGTCATCTTTTACTCAGGAAACCCATGTTCTCTAAAACCACAGAATAGCAAGCTCTCACTAGCAAGATTCAAATACTTGATCCAAACAGGTTTTGTTTTGAATGCCTGGAGCAAGCTTCAAGTTCCGACTTCTGTGGACTCGTCTCTCCTCTCTCTTCCCATTCTTTCTTGATCTTGTTGTTGTCTTTCTGTCACCTTAATGTGATCTTGTATTGTATGTTTCTGTACTGCTCATTGACAATCACTAACCCACAGCTTACCTAGGTACAGTATACTAAGGTAAACTTTAAAGTTATTTTTGCTGAAGGGACCCCCCAGACCTCAGGAAGTATCCTCTCGCCCTTGAAAGTAGAAGTGTCACAAACTTTATCTAAAATCTAAGAGACGCTTCTTAGTAACCTAAAGCTGAAACAGTATCCTCTAGTAGCTGCCATGTATCCATGTTACACCATTTTATTATTTTTCCTTCTTGATTGTTTTTTTTCTACACAACTGAATGTACACATTCCATTTAAAATCCATTCTTTAAAATTTCCATTTAAAGAATGTTTTCTTTTCAGCCCTAGTGCGCCAGAACGCTCACCACACCCCAGCTATCAGTGGGGAGGAGAGCAGGGTAATGAAGCCTATTCATAGATGGGGATTATTAGGAGGCCATGATTGGTAAGGGCCAATGGGAAATTGGGCCAGGACACTGGGGTTACACCCCTACTCTTTTTGCGAAACGCCCTGGGATTTTTTAATGACCAGAGAGAGTCTGGACTTCAGTTTTACGTCTCATCCGAAGGACAGTGCCTGTTTACAGTATAGTATTCCTGTCACAATATACTCATACTGTGTACAGTACCATACATTTTCTTAGAGTGGTACCATCCCACTGCCACAGCTACATCTTTCGGTTTAAGAATTCATCACTTTCAGTTCCCTGCACCACAACTGAAGCTCAGGGGAGAGAGTGCCTTTATTCAGGACAGAAGGACACTTCTCCTACCATGGCTCCTCCTAAAAGCTTAGTTCTTAGGCCCAAGCCCTGGTCTGTATCTCCTCCAGGGATGGAGGATGGGGCTTTGTTCCCTGGGGCCCTGGTCCAGATTATTGTATATGGGCTTTTCCCACACTTAAGACAATCTCCACATTTATAAGGAGTCCATTTAAGGCATACAGGTAATTTCTCATTTATTCCTTTTTTAGCTTGTATTACATGTGTTTCTTCCCATGCTTTCATGCACGAGGGTGTGCTCCTCCTTAGTATGCCAAGAATCTGCCTGTTGAGTAAATCTACCTAAGGCTCCATCTGAGATCTGTTAAGACACCTTTGTAAGTCTGTTTATACTTTGAAGTCCTTACCAAGTTAGGCCCAATTACCTCCTCTACTGTGTCAATTTCTTCTGTGAATGTCTGGTTTACGAACCTATCCCTTGGGTATTGGACGATACATTGTCTCACCTTGTCGCCTGGAGTGAGAGGGCAGAGGTGAGCTTGCTCAGTTTCCCTCCCCCTGCTTCAAGTCTCAGGGGACTGGAATTCCCTTCCCAACATCTCCCGAGTGGACGAGGTTTGATTTTCTTCACATCTCCCATTTAGAATAGAATGTAGTTTGATCAAATTCTTAGGCTATTTAGGGCTACTGTATTAAAGTTTTTGGCTATAGCCTTCTTAATGAGGCCAACTGCCCTTTGAGTCAATCCATTGCACTGAGGAGTGTAGGGTGGAGAGAGAACATGCCGTCCTCCATGTTGCTGTAATAACTGTAATAACACTTTAGAATTCTTAAAATGAGTACCTTGGTCAGTTCTAATTTCCTCAGGGATACCCAATGTTGCAAAAACCAATCGGTTAGCGCACTTGTAACTACATTTGCAGTGGCGACTTTGGTAGGGTAGACCTTGATATACCCAGTGCAGTTACAGACAATTGCCAAAAAGTACTTAATATTCCCTTTAGCTCCAGGCTTAAACTGGCTCCAGGCAGAGAGGAGTTCACAAATTTCTCACCCTCTTTTCAGTGTAGGGGCTGATGCTCCTCTACCTGACATGTAGTGCATTTTCTTTTAACTTTAGCAGCATGTGGACGTACTCTAGAGATGCTCAGACCAAGTGTCTTGCAGTGCTTGGTGATGGGTCTAGTACCTACATGACCCAATTCCTCATGGATTCCCTGCAGTACTTTGGACATCTGATCAGGGGGCTCTTCCCTAAGTTCTCCCTTCTCAGGCCAGGATGATTTTCTAACTATAATAATCCTCAGTTGGGTCAGTCGGTCTGCATCGTTTTTACCGCCAGCACGATCTCCAGACTTCTGATGCCATAGTTGGTACACAGGGGTGATTTCCATTTTAACGATAAACTCATCTATTAATTTCCATTCTACTGTATGAACAATGGGCTTTCGTTTTGCATTCTTATAATTATTTTGACACCAAATTTCAAGATTCTTTGTTAAGGCCTGCTAGCAGTAGAAGCTGTCTGTTAGTAGATAAACTTCCTAATTTGCATCTTTTCACACTGGCTCAGGGCTTCTACAATTACTATTACTTCAGCTTTCTGTGCAGAACCAGTAGTCCTCTTTTAGTAAAAATTGTCTGGTCATTCTTTTTAATCATGTAGGCCCAGTAGGCTTTTTCCACATCTGTTTCCTTCATACTTCCATCAGTGAAGACTTTAAACTGACAGTCCTTTCTTTCTTTACTCTAAGCTGTGTTTTGTAGACTACCCTCCATTTCTACCAATAATTGAGGATCTAAGAGAATGTTCTGAAATTTCCCCCATTGTACATTAGTAGTCTTGGCACCTATAACAGTCTCTTTTACAGTTCCTTAAGGTTGTTATATTTAGTAACTAGGGTTATGTCTTTTCCTACTGCTAATTTCTTAAGTCTAGACCAGTAAAACATTAACATGCTAAGTTCTCGCTCAACCTCCAAAAACTTTTGAGTTGAACTTTTGGCTGTAGAGCTACAGTAACTGTCCTCCTATTTAAGGATTTATAATTGCAGACCAGATGGTATGTCCCATCAGGCTTACGTACAGCTAAAATGGGAGTATTGGTAGGTGCTGTTTTAACAGGTATTAAAAACTCTTTATTTACCGATTCTTGAACTATTACTCTCAACTTTTCTTTAGCTTTTGAGTTTAGATTAGGCTGTCTTACAGGGGGGTGTATTCCTCCTTCTATCACGTGTGCCAAATCACTGCTTAATTTTCCACAGTGGTTTTTACCTTGTGTGATTTTAGTTTGTTTTAACAGTTGCCTGAGTCTATTTTTGTTAGCACTACTGATCTGTGCTTCTTCTACCTTTTTCTCAATTTCAACTGACATGTCAACTGACTTATACAGTACCAGAGAAGCCTAGACTTGGCTAGTGTCGTTTCTGTGGTTTTGGTGCTGCTGCACCTGTCTAAGTCTTTGAGCAGGATAAGGTCATAGTTTCCAAGTAGCATTGTTACATTCCAGTTATTAGTAGAAGGCATTAATGTTTTGTGCTCCCATCAGCCAGAGTTATATTTTCATAGCCGAGTGCCTTAAATCCTGGCCTAGAATTTATCATTGGCATTTCAGCTCCTGAACCTTCATTTATATAGCCTGACTTAACATCGTCACCTCCTGTTGGAAGATCATAGGGAGAGGTATCTTTACTTTCATTCCAAGTGGAGTCGTCGTCATCTTGTCAGTCATAAAGTGTTCCTTGGCTCCGTGTCCTTTGTCTACGGAATCCTCCCTCTACTGTACTGCTTTACTAAATCCTCCATATCTACCAAGTCACCCCGCTTTGGGTGTGATCTTCCTTCTGATACAGATAGTCCTATTCTCTGCACAGTGGCTCTTCAGCCAT